TTAGTTGTATCCGAATTTGGTGGGCTGAGGGTCCTGAGAACAGGTCGACCTATATTTACCTAGTCACTGTTGTGTAAACCCTTCAGAAACAATTTTTTTCGTCGAACTATTGACCCTTTATGTGGGAGCTTAGGCTGCGTTCATACTTTGCGGCAGCGTACGCCAGCGTACGCTAGCGTTTCCAGCGTTCGGCAGCGGCAGTGACAAGGAAAGGATAGATATCGATCTAGCGTTTGCAGCGTCACCAGCGTGCGCTAGCGTAGCGAGGGCAAGGAAAGTATAGGTATCGATCCAGCATTTCCAGCGTTTCACTAGGAAGCGCTTGAAGGGGTCGGTGCCGATGGTAGCGGATAACATTCTTGTCCATATTGCAGAATAAGGAGAGCAGGAGTCAAGCCAGTGATACTAATAGAAAGACCATTCCTTGATGTATAAGTGCTCACATTACCGGTTAACCCTCTTCAGGTAATGGGCAAGTATTTTGGGTTCAAAAAAGTATGACAGAACTTTCCCGCCAACCTAATATGAACGCAGCCTCACGCCCAGAAATACGATGAATCACAAAAGTGCAAACTGGAGCAAAAAAGTTCTCCACACAGGACACAAAGAAGCGGAAAATGGAACGGGAAAATCAACAATCGAAAAATTTCTCTCCCAAGGCCAATTACGACGTCTACTCCAGTGAACAAATACGACACCGTGAGTCACGACGATGATGTACCCTGTGTGGAACCTGTGAAGAACTGGTCTAATTCATGTTAGGCTTTTTTAGGTGATTCAAATGATTTTCTTGGCATGTATGATGGATTGGGCGAAGGTTGGGCAGTGCACATGTGCCCTTACAATAGGCATGCTGAGAGGATCAAAAAAACTCGCGTCAGGACCTTTTTACGAGCTCAAGAATGCGATGAAAAAAAGATTTTCATCACTAATCGGCTTCGGAGGAGAATTCTGCACATCTGCCGGTTCTTTTTGCAAACTCCTCTGAGGCTGCAAAATGGTATAAATTAGTCACTCCGGTTACAGGAATTCGCAGGCCTCCACTAGATAGCCTAAACTAGCGCAGCTAAGTACCACTCGGTGCTCTCACCAAATCGAAATGCGCCCATTTTTATGTACATATAATGGGACGCGCCGTGGACGCTTAAGTTCCGATCTCGCTATCGCCGGTTTCATATCTGCGGAATCGGGCAACAAGTGGGTGCCAAGTTAAAACGCCAGACTGACTTGGCTGGCTGCCGTGTGTCCCTCTAGGGGCTGAGAACCCACTGAAATCTCACTGGGAATTTTTTTAAATGGCTAAAATCACTTCACCTGAACAGTAAGCCTTGTTTATGGTTTCGATATCGAGAAATGATAGTGTCTCCCTTTGACCGAATTGTGCTTTGGTAGAGTGGATAGGAACACATTCCATTGTTAGAGAGTTTGGATTGGATGAAAGTATTTAGGGGGGAATGCATGGCGGCATCACGAAGGATGAAGTCTTAAAAATATTCAAGGCAAAACTATCCAACTAAGTTTGAGTTGTTCTCACCGTGTTACCAGCGTCTTACTGGTTTGATCCACACTAAACGCCGTGCTACCGTAATGCATGACGGAACCGAGGTCATACGGTAGTCCCAAGGTGTCGATGTCCTTGTCACGTTGCAGAAGTCCACTGAGCATATTGAAGGAGAGGATGATGTCGGACTCTACACTGAAAAAAGTACAATCGGGCCTCATTAAACTACATTAGAAGTAAGGTCGGGACGTAACTTTTATGTTAGGACTGTGCACTCAGGGCGCACTATTGCTCAGTGCCACATCCAATTCGCAATGGCAATTTCGGTAGCTCTATGGACCCACGAAATGCATCATACTATTAAACCCAGACTGCAATCAATACTTAATAAATAAAACAAAATAAAGCTTTAGTGGCGGAGATAAGACAAACTGATGACTGATGACCTTAGGCAGGGGGCATTTAAAGGACTTCCCGAGAATTGCTAGATTTATTCGATGAGGATGAGCAGTTTTATAAACCTAAAGTGCAAGGGTGTAGGGTGGGTCACCAGTTCCACGGTGCGGTAAATCTTCCCGGTTGAAATAACCCAAACTAATAACCCAGAAAGTGCTTCTAATGTTCCGCACCGCCAAGAATTTAGAGCTCTAGAACAAGCTTGAAAGTACTAATTGTGCTCTTTTTGGATGTCAGTGCTCAAAAAGGGTAAGAAACTAGTCCAACTATGTTCTATGTCTCCAGGAGGTAATCTTGTTCTCCTGGATATAATCACTTACCCGGGGACGGGTAAGGTGACCATATTGCCGCTACACACAGAAACTGGTTTGCCGCGCACAGTATTCCCGAGCAGATCGAATAAGCATTAAACTTTTTCGCGTCAAATCAACGAAGTCTTGGTGCGAGTGCCGCGCAGGCCACTTGCAGCGCTGCCTCCGCTGAGCCGCCGCAGCTCGGTTCTCCTGACCCGTACCTCACCTTAACACAGTTCTCTCCGATCGAAACACCTTGTCTGCCACCGTTCCGGCCGATCATGGAATAGCATCTGGAAAATCGATTCACATTGAGAAAATACGATAATGGTTGTGGAGCACTTATAATGTATGAACGGACACAGTCCATAGAGAAATGCAGGAAGAGGCGTTCCGGCGAATAAGGGCGGGAAATTATTTTATCGTCTAATACATACGTTTCTGCTCCACTCTTATCTGGGTCCCGGCTTTCGCAGCTACTTAATGGTTAACGCCTTTTTTGCAGCCTAATATGGAGGTGCACAGGAATTTGTGAAGATATC